GACTCCAATCTGCGCTCGAAGGCTGCAACATGTTAGCCGCCGACCGCTTTTCACATCTTCGTCCCGGGCCATTACCTAGAAAGATCAACCTCACGGATATCCTGCCCATCAATCTCTATTGAGCCCTTCGTGACGTCGTAGAAGCGATCCAAGAGCTTCAGGATGGTGGACTTGCCAGCGCCTGTAGCTCCGACGAAAGCAACCGTCATGCCCGGCGTCGCGGTGAAATTGATATTCTTCAAAATATCCTTTTTCTTGTCGTACGAGAACCAAACATTGTCGAAGCGGACCTTGCCACCGGAAAACTGCAAGTCTGGCGCACCTTCGTTGCTGAAAACGGTCGGTTTTGTCTGCATAATCTCCAAAAGCTGTTCGGCTTGGAGAAGATCCCGCGAGATGCTTTTCCCTAGGCCCGCGAAGAAGGTGAGAGGCGACACCATTTGAGCCCAGTATGTCAACAGCATAATGAATGTACCAGGGCTAACCTGCTTGTGAGTGATTTGGTACACGGCTAAGAATGCTCCGGCGAGGAGACCCGAGAGCACCACCAGGAATTGGAACGCGTAGGCAAGAACATAGCCAAAGTAGACCTTTTGGGTCTTTTCGACGCGGTCTTCCACTGCGGCCGAATAGCGGTCCTCTTCGTGTCCGATCTGGTTGAAGCTGGCAACTGTCGACCAGCCTTGGATTCCGGCCTGGCGGACATAATGCTCCTTGTACCAGGCACCGACCTCATTCCGGCGTGCGTCCTTGAGCGCTGCAATCATGCGGGTGGCAATGTACATGAATACTGCAGCAGTTGCCACCGTGATGAAGCCCTCGTATGGGCCGAAGATTGCCGAGAGATAGACGGAGGCCACCACCATGTCGATGAGCATTGGGACCGCCCGGAAACAGATCGACTCCAAGATGTTGGAGATGCTTTGGCCGCACTGTATCGCCATCATGATGTCAGAGGAGCTCTTGGAGTCGTGGAAGTCGGATGACAGGTTGAGAACATGAGAATAGGCCGCCGTGCTGATGGCACCAAAGGAGTAGTATTCGACGGGGATCCAGAGCCATTGGCGGAGGAGGGAAAGCCCCGCTTCAGAAGCCACCAGCTTATAGCCGGCAAAAATCAACACCTCGGTCCAGGGGTTCTTGTCGTTGTTCCCGGAAAGACTGTCCGTGATGATACCCAGCTGGCGCGGGATGAGAACGTTGAGGAAGTTCATGGCTAGCAGGCAGATTCCGACAAGCACGACACGAATCTGAAGCGGCCGGCGGTTGACGGGCCAGACATATGGAAAGAAGACCTATACGGCGACTCGTTAGTCAACGAGGATGGGAGACGGGGGGTGGCTCATTGCTTACCACGAAACTCTTGGCATAGGTCACCCAGTTCCCTTTCTCCTTGAGCCTCTTCTCCATCTGCTCGCTGGCTTTCCGCTCGCGTCTCTGGTAGGGATTCTCGTCGCTGTCGGTATCAGAAGACTGGCTGTCGTCGGTCGAGGCATCCGAGGTCGCGCCGTAGCCGCCCTGCTGACTCTCCTCGGGCTGATCTTCTGTATTCGCGGCATTTGCGGCATGTCCGTTCGTCTTGAGCAAGCCCTGGCGCTCGGAATCGGTGCCCGTCTCCAGCCCGGAGGTGCGATTCCCCTCAAAATACAAGGCCAAGGCCAGGACAACGGTCAGATACCTGACGGCGACGGTCGAGATGTCAAACACCTCGGCATAGTTGAGGGGTCCTGTGGGCCGGGCCTTTAGGGACATGACTTCAATGGTTGGTTCGAGAACGAGTGCCATCCCAAAGGGTCCGAGGTACGGGTACCACACCGGATTGGCGGCATCCGAAAGTCCAGCAAACACGACTCCATATGCCAGGGCACACGATAGAAGTCCGATGATTGTGTCCTGATCAGCGGGAGGAAAGAGGTGCTGAACAAAGCCCAACGCTGCCAAACCGAGGAGTTGGGCGAAGTAGGTGATGATGACAAGCATGAGGAGCCGCGTGATGGCTCGCCGACGCGGGTGATTGTGTTCTGAGGACCTGGTCTGTAGGGTACAGACAGCGATTGTGGACGCGACCATGTAGTAAAGAAAGATGGCGGTCGGATAGGCGTAGTGGAGGCTGGCTAGGACCTGGCGCGACGGCATCCCGACAGCCGTCTCGGCCATATGTGTGCCGTAATGGTCTGCCATGGCGAAGACTGAGGGCGCGCTGATTGGGCGAATATACCGGACCGATCTGAGAAAATGTTGGCTGAGTTGGGGGTTTTGTCAGCCCAAAACGGCCAGAGTTTGTCGTGTCAATTCTCTTCGGCGAGATCGGATGGTCCAGCACCTGGTCGCTCTCAAATTCCCCGGAATTCGTATTTCGGGCAGTCCGGTGACAGTGCGGTCAACGGCGGGAAAACGGCAGTCTGGACGATGGCCCCAGCTAATGAACTGCCGGTGGTTGAGACTTCCGACGTGAGACAAAATTGTAACCTTTTCTTTTCCAAGTCAGCCGCCCCCTAAGCTGCAAACTGCCCGGTCCCACCGGCCGTGGCTCCTTCCTTCCCAGAATTCCACTTCGATGAGAGAGGTGGAAAGGGCATCCGTCCGAAACAGCGGTAGGATGGAATGAGGCAGGCAAGAGCAATCTTTGGCGGTCAACTGCCAATCCTTAGAGGTAAGGTGCGGCGATGAGACAGCGTACGCCAGAATCAAGACACAGCCCGGAAACTTGAACTCAGATAATGTGCCAGGATCCAGAAACAAAAAGCACTTGATCTCTTGGGGGAAGGGTTCAATCCGTGCCGTATCGTGCCGCCTGACGGACGAACGCACGCCGCAACAACGAGTCAGCTCTTTCCTCGTCCTTGGCTGGTACAATTAATTGCACGGTCCACAACCTGTTTCACCGACTTCCTTCTGAACTGCACAAATCGGGAGGCGTGAGATGAGACTTTTGTATGTAAGATGTCAACAGGGAACAGCGTCGTATGTGGGGGGTTGGCTAATACGTACCTGTCGTAAGCAAGCGCGACGCGGGCAGTTTCCAAAGGCCAACCTGAAACGATCGGTGGCAATGTCTTGCTTGGTACTTGAAAGCAAAGAGCGCGGGGGATGCAGAGGGTTTTGCAATCGACGTGCTCAAGCAACCCAAGTTGTAGGTTTGTACAATATAGATGGGGCCCTGGCGTGGCAAGGTGTGAGGTAGGCCTGGGACCGCCCAGGCTGCGCAACGGTTGGTTGGTTGCTTGTCTCGCCGCCGGTATAAACACACCCAACAACGTTGCGCAAGGAAGTGGACCAAGCGGCGGGTAACAAGAGTGGCACACGAGTTTCACTGCCGCGCCGCGTTCCACGGAGCCGGGTAGTGTCTCCGGAAGTGTTTGCAAGACGCTGGCCAATGCGGCTCAGGCGAGTTGGTTGATGGCTGAGCGTCGGCACCACCTAAGCGAACCGGGTGTTGTGTCCAGCGCTGGTTGACGACGGTGCTGTCAATAAAATGCAGCTGGGAAACGCCAAACAACAGGAGAAAGAATCGGGGACCCTCGTGATCCATTGTCTGCCAGTAAAAGAGACGGTGAAGGCAGGCGCTAGCCGATGCGAATTGTTGAGAGGACCTCCCCCTTGCCGGCGCCAAAGGTCTTCGGTCCAAGCATCACCCTGGGCCCTGCCAAGAACGGGTACTGGTTTGCTCGCCCCTGTCACCATGTGCGCTTGAATCGCACACGGGAAGGAATATCGCAGGCGAATGCAGATCAACGTTGGCGGTGAATCGTCGTCTCTTCCTCAGCCGATGGCCGGACCATCTCGCGGCTCCTGGCAGGCGGAGCTCCAATGGTTATGGAATGAATATGGATGCGGGTGTCTTCGTCAATTTGCGTCCACGGCGGCGGGCATGTGCCAACATGCATTCTTACACAGAACCCGTTGTAATCGTTGCACTATACTGCTTTCATTGTGTCATGAAGTTGGTGCAACCCTAAAGGTTCTCAATGATTCCATCATTGGGCCCAGAAGCCGCCTTAGCGTCTCGGCGGCGGTAACCAACATCCACTCAGTGGCAGTGGGGATCAAAAACGTCCACTTTGCATCCGGTGGTTTCTAGTAGACGGGAATGCGAACTCTGAGTTCTCGGTGCAAACATCTCAAATTCATGCGCTCGATTCCTAGCAGCGGTGATGTTGCGCCAACTAAGCGCGCTAATGTGAAATGTGTGCCAGAGTTCTAGGCCAGCACAGCGGCAGTCCCAAAGTAGCCGTGCCAAGGTTGGGAGTATCACAGCTATCCGGCGGGGGACCAAACGGCGGCCGCACCGGTGGCACCCATGGAGCAGCTTAAAGTGTATTCGATGCACCCTGCTGCATTTACAACAGCTGGCATGTTTGTTGACGCTGAGATGCGTGTCTCCTACCTGATCGGAGGGCCAGATGCCAATGTCCGGGTCGGCAGGTGGATCCCGTAGCCGAGCCGCCGGGTGGGGGATGTTTTCCTGGCATCCCGGCAGTTGCGGCTTACTCGAGTGGAAGACGCAGATCGAGATTGGCAACGCCGTCAAAAGTCGAGAAGTGATAGGGGCCACGATGGTCAGTTCGGTGGCCAATGAAGCAGTACGACTTGTGAGCAAGCCAAGTCTTGTGAGCGCCTGCAGCTGCAACCACGGCAGAGGCGCGGCAACCACGATGAGAGGGCTGAGCCGAGGCGACGCTGGTTGTCCCGACGGCCTGGCACTGCTTACATAGCTGGGCGTGGTGGTGTGGCGGGTGTGGTGACGAAGTTTGATCAGGCGGCACGTCTCGAGTGTGACAGGGTAGGTATCCAAGTTGGACACACCATGGTCTGCAGAATGAACCTGTGGGTTTCCGGTTGGTGCAGGACCGCGTCATCTGGTGGAGGAGGCAGGAGCTGAAATGGTTGCTGATAGGGAACCTTTTTCTATTTCGCAAACAAACGGAAGGAACATGTGACTGAACTGGACAGCTGTTGATCATAGTCCAGCTTTTGGTATATACTTTTTAACAGCCCATGGGGGTATGGTCTAGTGGTATGATTTCTGTTTTGCATTGACCCAGCGTTACAGACGGTCCCGCGTTCGATCCGCGGTGCTTCCAAATTTTTGTTTTTACCACTTCTTCTAGCTAAACCGCCGAGCAAGAACAATCCCACCTCCGCAGCCACCTCCATATCGTCTTGAGGGCCAAAGGTACCAGAGTCGCACCGTTTCCAAGTCCTAAAGAAGAGTTGTAGTTGAACAGGTGAGTTTCTAATGGCTTTTGAGGTGTCGCCGCCTTTGGTTTTGATGACTGCATGGAAACTCGCCAATGCCACCAGTATCCGTACAGTAATACTGCGACCTCCATTTCAGGCCCAACATTCCGCCAAGAGAGCGAGAGATTTCAGAGGATATTCTTCGCCGCCAGCAGGAATGGCAAATCGCACATGCCATATTGTCATCGGATATCCAAAGAACCAACAAACCACAGGGCCATAAACCACCAAACATCGACCGCCTAACCCCCTTGGCTCTCCCGTCCCAGTGGCCAGGTCCAGGTTCCGCTCGACCTCCACCACGACTTCGTTTTCATCCCCCCCCTTTCACCGTCCCTCCCTCTCCTTGCGTCAGCGTCCGACTCTGAACCTGCCTCTCCTGGCCAGCCCCGCCCCCATCCCCTCCCCCTTCCGGAGGGGACCCCTTCCCCCGGCCCCCCACCACCTCACCCTCACCCTCACCCTCACCCTCCACCTCCACCTCCCCCCTTCCCCGCCTCTTCCCCCTCACCCTACCAACCGCCGCCTCGCCCTTCCGCACCACGCGCACGTACAGCTCCAGCCCGACCAGGACGGCATAGCTCTTGCTGACGCGGACGCGGCGCATGTCGACGCCGGCGTCCCGCAGCGACCGCACAAAGGCGCGGAAGTTGCTCGCGGGCGGGCGGTAGTGGCCGCTCAGCGGCGACAGGCTGGTCAGGCGGCCGTCGCGCACGCGGACCAGGCCCGCGGCCGAGATGCGGCTGCCCTGCAGGAAGGACGAGTGCTGGAAGGCGCCCGAGTCCTTGATGCCGACGTAGAGGCGGAAGGCCGTGTCGGCGACGAAGATCCACGTGTTCTTGCGGACCGTCTTGCGCAGGAGCTTGTTGAGGATGGTGGTGGTGGAGAAGTGGTGGGTGAAGTTCTTGAGGGGGTTGGAGGAGGCGGGGTTGGCGGGGTTGGGCGGGTTCGGGGTCGAGGTGTAGCGGTCGGCGTTGGCGGAGAGGATGGAGGACGACGAGGAAGAGGAGGACGACGACGACGACAAAGAGGAGGATGGCCGGGGGCCGGCGCCGAGGAGGGTCGTTTGGTTGTCGGGCCCGGTGGCGTAGGCTGGCGTGGGGTCGTCGCTGGGGACGATGCCGTGCGTCGAGTCCTTCCACTTGGTTGAGGTGTCGATTCGCACGCCGTTCTTGGCCCAGCAGAGGCGGCCTTCGTCGTCGATCTTGACGAGGTAGTGCTGCCGCTCTTCGCGCGAGAGATAGCGCACCTGCTCCCTGTCGAGGCGCTCCCGGGGGCAGGCTTCGATGTCGAGGGGCCTGCCCTCGCCATGGTCGAGCCAGTAGAAGAAGTTCTCGTTGGTGTCGGCCCGCTTCCACTCCTCGTGGTACACGAGCAGGTTGGCGCCGTAGCGGTGCTTGAGATCGACCATCTCGAGGAAGTACTGCAGGCCCATCGTCCTGGACTCCTGCTTGCGGCGGGCCTTGGCCTCGTCCTTCCGTCGCCGGTCCTGCTTCTTCTGCTCGGCCGTCTTTGTAGCGCGGCTTGAATCAGAATCGGACGCGGACGACGACGACGAAGAACTGCTCGAGGAGCTGTCGGCGTCAACGTCGCCCCCGGCATGGCGGGCAATAGTGGACACCTTCTTCCAGTTTTGGCGCGCCGTGGAAGACCGGCTGCCCAGTCCGCGCGGCCGCAGCTCCGGGGATGCGCCGCCGCCTGCCAGGTCGGCGCGGGCACGGGGCGTCGTCATCTCGCGCCATTGCGCCTCCCGGATGGCATGTATCCAGCGAGTCGACGCATCCAGGCCCAGCCCCTTCACCTCGCGCCGGGCGCGGTAGCCGCGGTAGTTGCGCTGGATGACGGTTGCGGCCTGTGTACGGCGGCCGTCCTCACTGGGGCTGCTTCGGTGACCGAGGCCGAGCCTGCTGGAGATGGAGAGGCGGCCGTGGTGGGCGGGCCGGGGGCTCAGCTCTGGTGAGAAACTGGCAGCAGCATCTATGCTCTGCCGCTTCCCCTCGCGGTACTGCCGTTTCTGCTCGGCTTCGCGCTCGGCCTGCACCTCGGCAATGTGTGCAAACTCCTCCTTGGTCGGCGGCACGAGCGAGTCCAGGTACTCTTGGTGGCTTAGCGACGAGAGCAACGAGTCAACCGAGGCCAGTGAGACTGGGCGCTTGGGCCTCCGTGGCAGTTGGGAGATGGAACTGTTCCGACTCCGCGCGAGGGCCGACGGCGATGGCGGGGGGGTGGCCGATGAGGTCGGCACCTGGTCGTGGGTGGGGTTGGGCTCCATGGTGGAATTGTTCAAGAATGGAGAGGGCGTGGTTGTGGTCGTCTGCTGTGGAAACTTGGTTCACATGCGGGCTACCCACTACTGGGGAGAGGGGGAAATGAAATAAATATTATTCTGCCGGGAGCCCTCCCGTGCGGCGTGCACTGCCCAGTGCCCGATGCCACTACAGGCGCTGAGAGAATGGACGACGAACGCGGATCGCTCGGACGGCCGCTGCCAAGCCTCGGTTGCCAGCCATGAAGGGCATGGGGAGACTGTTCCCGAAGTAAATCTTTTCACCGAAGCGCCTGTTGGTTGATGCCGAAACGCGATCTCGAGGGGAGAGCAGCCATTCTCCGTTCTATTTAGGCATCGAGTGCGGCCGGAAGCCCTCACCCATCCATCGGCCCCTCTCAAAATGACCTGCTGATGACGGGCAGCCGGGTTTAAGCGTCGCAGCACTAGCGGGTCCGGGGGTTCCCGTCTTTCGAGGTACCTCTGCGACACAGTATTAATCACATCCGGCCACACAACCAGCTTGAGCGTCTCGCCGCACTTTGCCCTCGTCGTTTCGCGACAGTCGGATCCCCGCATCAGCCTGGCAGGCGCCGCTCTTCCCTGGGCCAACAACCCCTTCTCGGCCAGCGCGTTGGCAATCGCCTGTTGCGGCTTCTCCACACTCCTGGCCCCGCGCGCCTTTGCCGGCTCAGTCTCATGGTAACAGCGCCGCCTTGACCCGGTGAACCACGACCCCGGCCCCGGCCCCGGCCCCGGCCCCCGTCGGCAAGGATCAGGGGGTGGTGAGGTGAGGTGTGCTGCAAAGTCATATCGGGCCTTCGTATCTGTATCTTGAGTGGACCAGGTCATGAAAAGAGGAACTCCTTCAGGACTGGCGAGCCCGAAAACTCGGGGTTGAGTAGTATGCAGCTTCACAGGTCAGCAGGACAGGTCTCAACGGCGCGCGCGGTGCCGCTCACGGCACGAGCGAACGAAGCAGCGGGGGCTTACTTGAGGAAATACTGCAGCCCAGCCCGCCTCTTCTCCAGGAACCGCGGATGGAACCGTTTCAGCACGCTCTTGGACGGCAGCGCCGGCACCGCCGCCTCAAAGTTGGGAAACGTCTGGACGAGCCGCTTCCGGAGCCCGTCAAACTCGGAGTAGCGCTTGCGGATGTTCATGCGCGAGCCCTGCATGGTCCGACCGTCAGCCGCCTGTCCCTCATCCCCCCCCAACATCGAAACCAAAGACAGAAAAAAGAAAAGAAACCAGCCAGGCCCAGACCTACATTCAACGTCTCCACCCGAATCAGCCAAACCACAAACGCCCCGATATTCGTCGCGCTCCCGTTCACCAGCACATGGTCCGTCACCTGCACGCTGCGCGCCCAGCACGCCCGGTTCCTGTCGCGCCCGTACAGCTCGCTACTGTTGCTCCGCCGGCCCCCGCCATCCTCGTCTTCGTCGCGCTCGTTGTCCTGCAGCGTGATCGCGCCCGGCGGCAGCACGGACTCGACCGACGCGCTGGACACGCCGCGCGCGTGGCCGTGGTGGTGGCTGTAATTGTGGTTGCGGGCTGAAGAAGCGGAGGGAGCTTGTAAGAGCCGCTGCGGGTTCGGTGGCGTGTCGGCAGCGCGAGCGTGCGTGTGGGTCCAGTAGGGCGGGGAGGAGACGCTGGGGGAGGTGACTGGTTCGAGCTCTTGCTCCGGTTCTGGTTCTTGTCCTTCGTCTTGTTCGGAGCGGGCGTCGGACGGGATGGAGGCGAGGGAGGTGGTGTCGGAGGAGCGAGAGAGCGGCGCGGAGTCGGCCTCGGGGTTGGGTTGCGCCGCGCCGTCGGTGTTGGAGCCGTCGGTGCTTGGGTCGTCGGTGCTTGGGTCGTCGGCGCTTAGGCCCGCGGCGCTGACGCTGCTGTCGGCTTCATTGTGCAGGGATGGCTGCTGCTCGTGTTGCGCCGGCTGCTGTGGACGTGGTTGCTCGGGTTCTGCCGCCATTCAGGCCATCTGCGGCAGAGCGCTAAACGGCGCTGCAAAATCGGGGGTAGCGCGGTTGCGAATTGAGAATTGGATGGCGTGGCAGAGGTATTGCTGTCGACTGCTTCGATATTCTGATTGGGCTTGTAAGTATGGTGATTGGAGAGATTATGCTGGGGGAGGAGAGGAGTGGAACGAGCAAGGCAATCTCGCCAAGATCAAGCCGGGAGCGTCATCATCTCCGGCGCCCCACATTGGGGAGGGTTCAGGCTACAGGGTTAGGGTAAGTTCAGGGACGATGGCATCAACAGAGTCGGGAGAGTCAGGTGCCCGGTGGATGGCCGCACGGAAGCAGGCTGTGAGATATGGTCGGACCAGTATTGCTCTTGTCCCAGCACACCCCTCGTCATAGCTCATCCTTCTCGGACTTCTTCTCTGCTTTCCCTGTCTCTCCCTCGGTAAAACACCCCTCCAGATCCATCCACTCGGCCACAAACGCAGTCACGATCCGCGTCCAGTCCCTGATGGTCGGCACATCGAGGTGGGCCCCGTCGTCGTCCATGGTGTGCCACACAGACGGAAACGGCGATGGGATAAGGTGCAGGATGTCGACCCCCCGTCGCATG